AAGTACTTCTAGTTGCTCGATTTAAAATATGTAAAGATTTTTGAATTGTTATACAAGTTTACTTTGCATCGGTCGAAGCATATTTTTAATATATTTAATTAAAAAAATTGACAAATTTATAAAATTTGAAATATTTATTCTTATCAAAATATTGCTACAATTGAAAAAGTGCTTCGACCGATGCAAAGTAAACTTGTATATCAATTAACATATATTTACATATTTTAAATCGAACAACTAGAAGTCCCTTAATTTTTGTCAGGCGTATTGTATGTCTCACGTGTGTTAGACAAAGACAGAAAATCACCGCTTCAAATCCCCTTAAAGTTCAAATTTTAACTAAATACGTGTAAATTACGGCAATTTTCAAATTATCTTTGTTAGAAATTCATAAAAGTTTTTATTTTTAAATCTAAGATTTGAAAATTAAATACAATAAGGCTCCTAACATATTTTTATAATAGCAGTTGAAAAATAAAAGAAATATTTAGTCACAATTATTTTTTTATAAACATTTAAAGTACAAATTTTGACAACATAAACATTTTTCTTTTTAAATCTAAGACTTGAAAATKTTTAATAATCTATAATCCTAGACAGATAAACCGTTTCCGCTCAGAATCGTTTTTCGTATGATTATATAATATCATTGAATTCAAATTTAATTCCATCCATTACGATTACAGTAACCTACTTGTAACCTACTGTACGCAGAGGGACATCCACTTTCCCGTTTTTTTTTATTACACTTATTAGTTACTGGCAAAATGATAAAATATGGTATTATTAGATRTTAGGTTATATACTTATATTTGTAGTAATATGCTGTTGATATGCTGATAACTATCATTTTGCAATATACCAATGTCGGGAAGGAAGGGGCCCACCTAACATTGACCCACCTAGTGAATATTTTCTGACCACGTGTCTGTGTATACTGTGTATAGGTATAGCGTTTTCTTGTACTAACACTTCTATAACTGATGCTTGTTGTAGTGATTTCTTCTATAAATTTGTACAATTTATTTAATTACCTACTAAATTAMATATTGTATACTTATTATATATAGACTTACAAGAAGCGCAAAAGTTCATGGAACAATTGGACTACGATTATTCGGTGGCGGTGGCCGACGCTGCAACAGCAGCAGCGGCGCAACAGAGGCCTGTCGCCGACTTGTTATGGTATGACTACGGCGGTGGCGTCGGACGGGGAGAAAGCGGGAGTGGTGGCTCAAGTGGCACAAGCGGCGCCGGCTATTACGGCTCCGGATCCCCGGTCACGGGTATGGCCAAGGCCACGCTGTTCGGGGCCGACAAACGGGGTGGCACGGCCCAGTCGAACAACGGTGGCATATGGTTTGGGCCACGGTTGGGTCGCAGAAAACGMCGAGGTGGATCACCGTTTGGTGGTGGCGGTGTCACGCATGCTGTGGACGGGAACGCGATCGCGCCGGCCGCTTCGTCGCTGCTGCAACAGGATCCGTTGGCCGCGGGCTCGACGTCGGCGATGGCAACTGAACAGGCCGTTGTCACAGATCTGATCAACAACGTACCGTGGGTGCTCGTACCGATCATCGATAATTCCCGTGAGTATATAAAAATTTAATATGGTAATGGCGAGGAGAAGGACGATACTGAAAAGTATTATGACAACATTTTTATATCGTTTCACGAGATATTGAGATAATATGATATTTACCAATAATTTTTATTAGCTATTTGGCTTTTTCGTATCGGTATAATAATAAGTCCTGRGTATTGGYGAACAGGCTGTCAAAAGTCGAGTTGCCTAGGATCAAGCCCATCAATAATGCATTTTTACATAGTAGTATAAATTATACGTCTCTAATACTCTATATCGTAGTTACTTAATAGTTAATATCAATAAAGACAATAATATAGTGCATCATTACTTCGTATACTGTATATAATATATTATATTACCTACCTMATGTTTTATTATTTAATATAATACGTGAGGCAACTGCAGGTCATTGCAACTGCAGTTATATAAATATATAATGCAGCCAAAATTACTGTATTCGTTACAATTCACTTATAGTTYTTTTCTTTTTTACTATCAGCTATATACATTTATTGCATTCGGAGAGTAGGTATACACAAATATGATTGCTTATGACTCATGAGACTTGTTTGGTAATTATGTTTCAATTTCATATAATTAACCAATTTGGACTCATAATATCATATGATCAAATAATTCATAAGTATATAACACATAAAATCGTGTAGACTTTATTCGA